TAACATCGAAAAAATGAAGCTGAAAATGTTTAGGAAAATATTTAGTATCAGTTAGCTGAGGCCAGTGGCGTAGGCAGGGGGGGGGGGTTAGGGGGGTCATAACCCCCCCCCCCCCCCATAGACCTCTCGGTATATATAAAAAGTATTAGGGTGGGTGCAAATCGAAAGTTTGAGGGGGGTGCAAATCGAAAGTTTGAGGGGGGGGGGGTGCAAATTGAAAGTTTGAGGGGGGGGGTGTGCAAATCGAAAGTTTGTCCCCGGGTAAAAATTGGAACCCCCCCCCCCCTTGAGACGATCCTGGCTACGCCACTGGCTGAGGCCACGGAGTTCAAAGATTGGCTGAAAAAAATATTTAAGAGAACGGGTATTTACAATTCTGTGTTTATAGGTTCCCTAATAAAGTAAATTGCCTTTTTCGAAGCTGGTGGTCAATGGATCAAGTGAAGTAGAGTTCACCTGTTTCTGTGAACTCGGCATATGAATAATATGGCCAGCACTATGCCTAGCCGCTTTTACTTTCCCCGAAGGGGGTCAGGTACCCATCAGAGCTGGGTGGACTCAGTTGGACGTTCGACTGACTTGAACCCGGATTCGAGTTCGAGACTTTCGGGCTAGCAGTCTAGCTCTCTACCGCTAGGCTACATTGTGCCACGTTCCATGTGGAATAGTGAGTCAGAATAGGGTAGGTGAGTCAGAATAGGGTAGGTGAGTCAGTATAAGGTAGGTGAGTCAGTATAAGGTAGGTGAGTCCGTATAGGGACTGGTGTGTCAGTACAGGGACTGGTGAGTCAGTATAGGGTAGGTGAGTCAGTATAGGGTAGGTGAGTCAGTATAGGGTAGGTGAGTCAGTATAGGGACTGGTGAGTCAGTATAGGGTAGGTGAGTCAGTATAGGGTAGGTGAGTCAGTATAGGGACTGGTGAGTCAGTATAGGGACTGGGGAGTCAGTATAGGGATGGTGAGTCAGAATAGGGACTGGTGAGTCAGTATAGGGACTGGTGAGTCAGTACAGGGACTGGTGAGTCAGAATAGGGACTGGTGAGTCAGTATAGGGGCTGGTGAGTCAGTATAGGGATGGTGAGTCAGTACAGGGACTGGTGAGTCAGAATAGGGACTGGTGAGTCAGTATAGGGGCTGGTGAGTCAGTATAGGGTAGGTGAGTCAGTATAGGGTAGGTGAGCCAGTATAGGGACTGGTGAGTCAGTATAGGGACTGGTGAGTCAGTTTAGGGGATGGTGAGTCAGTATAGGGACTGGTGAGTCAGTATAGGGATGGTGAGTCAGTACAGGGACTGGTGAGTCAGAATAGGGACTGGTGAGTCAGTATAGGGGCTGGTGAGTCAGTATAGGGTAGGTGAGTCAGTATAGGGTAGGTGAGTCAGTATAGGGACTGGTGAGCCAGTGCAGGGACTGGTGAGTCAGTACAGGGACTGGTGAGTCAGTTTAGGGACTGGTGAGTCATTATAGGGACTGGTGAGTCAGTTTAGGGACTGGTGAGTCAGTACAGGGACTGGTAAGTCAGTATAAGGTAGGTGAGTCAGTACAGGGACTGGTAAGTCAGTATAAGGTAGGTGAGTCAGTATAGGGTAGGTGAGTCAGTACAGAGCTGGTAAGTCAGTATAGGGACTGGTGAGTCAGTATAGGGTAGGTGAGTTAGTATAAGGTAGGTGAGTCAGTATAGGGTAGGTGAGTCAGTATAGGGTAGGTGAGTCAGTATAGGGACTGGTGAGTCAGTACAAGGACTGGTGAGTCAGTACAGGGACTGGTGAGTCAGTTTAGGGACTGGTAAGTCATTATAGGGACTGGTGAGTCAATTTAGGGACTGGTGAGTCAGTACAGGGACTGGTGAGTCAGTATAGGGACTGGTGAGTTTGTATAAGGACTGGCGAGTCAGTACAGGGACTGGTGAGTCAGAATAGGGTAAGTGAGTCAGTATAGGGTAGGTGAGTCAGTATAGGGACTGGTGAGCCAGTGCAGGGACTGGTGAGTCAGTACAGGGATTGGTGAGTCAGTTTAGGGACTGGTAAGTCATTATAGGGACTGGTGAGTTAGTTTAGGGACTGGTGAGTCAGTACAGGGACTGGTAAGGCAGTTTAAGGTAGGTGAGTCAGTACAGGGACTGGTAAGTCAGTATAAGGTAGGTGAGTCAGTACAGAGCTGGTAAGTCAGTATAGGGACTGGTGAGTCAGTATAGGGTAGGTGAGTTAGTATAAGGTAGGTGAGTCAGTATAGGGTAGGTGAGTCAGTATAGGGTAGGTGAGTCAGTATAGGGACTGGTGAGTCAGTATAGGGACTGGTGAGTCAGAATAGGGACTGGTGAGTCAGTATAGGGACTGGTGAGTCAGTATAGAGTAGGTGAGTCAGAATAGGGACTGGTGAGTCAGTATAGGGACTGGTGAGTCAGTATAGGGTAGTTAAGTCAGTATAGGGACTGGTGAGTCAGTACAGGGACTGGTGAGTCAGTACAGGGACTGGTGAGTCAGTTTAGGGACTGGTAAGTCATTATAGGGACTGGTGAGTCAGTTTAGGGACTGGTGAGTCAGTACAGGGACTGGTGAGTTTGTATAAGGACTGGCGAGTCAGTACAGGGACTGGTGAGTCAGAATAGGGTAGGTGATTCAGTATAGGGTAGGTCAGTCAGTATAGGGACTGGTGAGTTTGTATAAGGACTGGCGAGTCAGTACAGAGACTGGTGAGTCAGAATAGGGTAAGTGAGTCAGTATAGGGACTGGTGAGCCAGTATAAGGACTGGCGAGTCAGTACAGGGACTGGTGAGTCAGTATAGGGTAGGTGAGTCAGTATAGGGTAGGTGAGTCAGTACAGGGACTGGTGAGTCAGTATAGGGTAGGTGAGTCAGTATAGGGTAGGTGAGTCAGTATAGGCACTGGTGAGTCAGTATAGGGTAGGTGAGTCAGTATAGGGTAGGTGAGTCAGTATAGGGACTGGTCAGTAAGTATAGGGACTGGTGAGTTATAACACATGTTAATCAGGACAATGCAGGACACACCTCACCTACAACTTTTTAACGACCAATGTGAAAAAAGGCCTCGGTGCCTACTGTTGTTACCGTTATTGAATAAATTGAATAAATAATTGAATAAATTGAGTAAATTGAATAAATTGAAAAAATTGAATACCTCACCTTTCTATTTGAGCAAACAATTTTCAAGGATTCAAAATAAAAATCCCGAAACTGATCAATGTAACCCATCTTTATACTTTGCAAAACTATCTTCATCCCCCCCCCCCCCCCCCCCGGCACCACCAACATCAAAATATGCCTGAAATTCACAGACCAGCTTTTAAAATAGTAAGACTGTTCGGGCTGGAAGATGGCACCGAGACGGTCTCCTTTTAAGAACAGCCGCCTAGACTAACTGCATTAAAAGATGCGTAAAAATTTACGAAAAGGGCGTTTATTTCCGTTTTTTTTTAAAATAACATTTTAAGTAATTAAAAGCTTGTTATTATAACATTTGATTTAAATGTGTAGAGTGCCATTGTATTGACATACAACGATTTATTTATCTTTTTTTTTTTGTAAATTTATCGCTACTTAGAAAATCAGAAGTAGATTTACGCACCGAAAAGCACCGTCACTGAAAGCTGTCAAGATAATTAACGGAAGTTGTCTAACCTAACTTCTACACGATATCAAAATCCACTCAAGGTTCAGGTATTAAAATAATCTTAATAGATTCTATGTACTGTTTTCGGTAATCTATCGTTTTAGCGTAATCAATTCGGCTGCAATAGTAATGTGCGGGAGAGGTAGCTGATGAATATATAAAAAAAATATTTGTTTAAATAAGTTTATTTAAGTCAAATTTTACAAAATATCACAGATAATTGATTTAAAATAACAAACAGTGACCAAAACAATTTAAATAACATGAAACTAACTTTAAACTAGGTGTTTGAGATAAATATTAGTAGAAAAAAAACAGCGGCCATCTTTCCATATAAAATTTAGAGTAGTTTCCCTGGATAAAAATGTCTATTCGTATGTATATTGTGTTGACTTTGTTGTTTAATATACATACCTGTCTTGTTTAATATAATAAGTAAGACAGAGGGCCGTCTTCTTATCTTTAATTTCATTTTCAAGTGAAATGAAGGCTATGTATGTATGTACATCCAAGATCTCAAAAATTTTGGGAGGTCCAACATTTACTAAACCCTTTTGTACTGATTAGGGGTCGTCCATAAATGACGTCACAATCGTAGGGGGGAGGGGGGGTCGGTAATTTTATGACGACGTGTGATGACGGGGAGGGGGGGGGGGTTCAGATGGTGCTACGTCACACTTTTGCTTTATAGATAAGAAAAGTTAGAAAACGAATTTTAGACATTATTTAGCTTTTTAAAAAAACAGTTTTAATAAATTATAATAGGAATTGATTAAAATACTATATTTTGACATATTTCAGACAAGATTTTGGAAAAATATCGATGTTTTAAAAAAAATAAACTGCAATTTTGAGGGGGGGTGGGGGGGTTGTAGGCTGATGTGTGACGTCATTTTGGGGGGGGGGGTCTGACTTTTTGTGACGACGTGTGACGGAGGGGAGGGGGGGGAGGTAAAAATCGTATTTAAAAAGCGTGACGTCATTTATGGATGACCCCTTAACTTGTCAATTATTAGGTCGTCCATATTCCTCATAAATGACGTTGGACTCAAAATATGGGACGGTGTAAAATATTTTTTTCAAAAATGATGAAGAATATATTCGTTTTCGTTAGAAATTGTGATTAAGGGTTCGGGTATAGTAGAACTGCGATATGATATTAAATCATCATCTTGCTTTTAGTAACTATTGGGTGAGAGGGAAATTGTCGGGAAAAGTATGACGTCATTTATGGGCGATCCATTTAATTAAGCCTAGTTGTTTATTTTGTCTGTAGACATTAGTCTTAGGCCTACACTTTTTCTGAATTAAGATTATTGTGTTTTTTAAAATAGGTTCAAATTTTAATTAGTTACATTTGAATACCACATGGTTTTTTTTTTCTTTGCCTTCTGCTGTCATCAGTTTTTGATTTCTTCAGTAGTCAATGTTTACCCCTCCCCACCATCCATTATTACCAAAAAAAAACATCACTATATGTGTCATAGCGTAGATATATAAAATTAGACTAGACGAGTAGAGGTTACTAAGGACGGTACGAACTTGACGGTAGACGATTTGGTGCGAGAGTATTGTGCGCGTGTTCAATAAAATATGTGTGGCGTGAGTGTGACGTGAGCATGGTGCGACAATGTACCCATGACGTAAGACGCAGCAGTGAAGTTAGTTGGGGGTTAGATATAGTAGAAGACGGATGTATTATTTGATATTGTGAAAATGATCTATAAGTGTGTGTTAATTAAGTTCATGTTATTTCATAAACTAAGTTGTTGACATTGTTAATTAGTGTCTGCGGAACATAAGAGTGATTCCCGTCCTCCTCACGAGTATAATAGTTGCCGTATGAATAGTAGTAGATCAGAATATATTGAGATTATATATAAATCGCCCATCACAATATAGTCATATCCCACTCTAGAAAAAAACAACTAGATCAACGTATAGTTCGTAGGAAAATTAGAATCTATCACTTATTCGTCTGTTAAAAAAAAAAAGAAATAGGTCATTTTTCTCAACCACGCCGTTTCATCCCCCACTAAGCACAACGTCACAAAGTTCGCGGCGCGCGTGACGTCATTTGTCATTAGGCTAATGTTTAAGAAAGATACCGCGTAATTAAAAGAAAATCAAAACAGGCTCTAAATCACTATGGCGATGCGACTTTAACGACGTTTAGCCTGACTAATAGATCTAAATAACTTTAGTTCGGTGAATTATATTGGTGTTTATTACAGTGGCATGCGGTGCTCCCTCTACTATACAAATTCACGTGCTTTTAATTTCTGCAACCTGCTGCCCTGAGACGTTCGGCTCTAAAATGCCCGTGACACAGCGGCTTCGGTAAATGCATTTAGGCTCCCGGTCCCACCTATAAACGTCTGTCCATTAAGCTCCACGCAAAACGTGTGATTAATATGTGGACATAAGCGGCGCTAGTGGTGGTGTCAACAGGGGCCAAGCTCAGGTCTTAAAGGTGCTCCGCACTTCATAAAAGACAAAATTGATGTTCAGATATCGTCGGACTCTGGCGTTTTGCCGACGGCCGTACTCCTAATGCACAGTCTTAGAGGCTGTCCACTGCTAACACTATTTTATGTTAAATTCAAGCCTATACTGAGCTGTGGCTTTACATTAGCTCAGTGGCGTAGCGAGGTCGAGTGTCACCCGGTGCGGCACTTAATGGTGTCACCCCCCAGAGGCGACAAACTTTCAATTTTCGATTTGTCCCATTTTACCTGCTAGTCAATACTTGTCGAATATTGTTGACAGGAGCTACTTGGAAACAAACAATAACACAAACAATAAGAATGAACTCAAACTAATATTTAAATAAACATTAGATAGGCCTATGTAGTGGTAGCTCTATAAAAATAGGGAGTATCTCATGATTAACTTAATGTATAAAAATTTCATCTCATAATAATAATAATTATAGAACTGATGTTTATTGTCAGTCAATTAAATTGTTTAAAGGGCAGAATTTAAAAAAAAAAACGCATGCTTTGTATTTAAACACAAGACTAACCTATTTAACAGCAAACATCAATACATTTCCATACAAATAGAAATTAAAGGGAAATGACTCAAAATAATATTTTCTTAAGATGGCCGCTGTTTTTAATAGCAAATTTAGTATCTGTAACATCGTTGTTAAACTTTAATTTCCTGACATTTTTATTGATTTAAACCTTAAATGTGGTTTAATATTCAATTATCTTTAGTATTTTAGTAAAATATACAAAAATATATCCATATTTAAGCCATATTTATTAGTTACCTTATCCCTACATTACTAGTGACGGCCGAATTGATTACGCTAAAGCGATAGATTACCCTGTTTTCTTTTAATAGGACACAGGATTCCTTTTATTTATTTTTTGTGTCAGGTCTGCATAAGAATTGTATTATAAGTTTTGGGTAATCTATCGTTTTAGCGTAATCAATTCGATCGTCACTAGTAATGTAGGGATAAGGTAACTAATAAATATGGCTTAAATATGAATATATTTTTGCATATTCTACTAAAATACTAAAGATAATTGAATATTAAACCACATTTAAGGGTTAAATCAATAAAAATTTCATGAAATTAAGGTTTAACAACGATGTTCCAGATACAAAATTTGCTATTAAAAACAGCGGCCATCTTAAGAAAATATTATTTTGAGTCATTTCCCTTTCATTTTTATTTGTATGGAAATGTATTGATGTTTGCTATTAAATACGTTTGTCTTGTGTTTAAATACAAAGCATGCGTTTTTTTTTAAATTCTGCCCTTTAAACAATTTAATTACCTGACAATAAACATCAGTTCTAGAATTATTATTATGAGATGCAATTTTTATGCATTAAGAAACTCCCTATTTTTATAGAGCTACCACTACATAACTACATATCTAATGTTTATTTAAATATTAGTTTGAGTTAATTGTTATTGGTTGTGTTATTGTTTGTTTGCTATTTTCATTTCATATTTTCATGCTTTTTTCCTTTAATTGGTGATTTAATCATAAATGACGTCACGTTTTTTTTTTACCTATCTTCACCTTACCCCCCCCCCCCCCCCCCCCCCCCCATTTTCGCCGTCACGAAATAGTCGTAATGTCGAAAATTACTTTTTTGTCCTGCCTGTTAAAAAGTCAAGCCATAATTCAAACGATGTCACATATGCTATTCTAATGTGACGTCAAGTTACGCAGGACTGCAATTTATGACCTATAATGAAGGGTTGATCGGGGGGGGGGGTGAGTGACGTCAATTATGGAAGACTTCTATAAAGCTGTGCTCAATGAAAATGAGGAACATAAAGCGTTCGTTTTCATGCATGCCTTTGCTCATAACGAATGATCATAACTATTGCAAGCCTGTTGTCCTAAGCGGTGTTAAACAACCTCAGCACATCATCCCCGCCAAAAAGGCCTGCCACTAAATGCCTACCGACGAAAATAAGCCGCGCTACATTGACTCCAAATGAAATAACTTCTGACAATAAGGCTCAAACCAACTAGCTCCAGGCAACGGTATCTGACAAGAATCCAAGACAATTATTGGTTTGCAGGTAAAATTGGACAAAACAGCAAGTTTCGCGACATGGGGCATAACAAAAGATCAACCCTTAATACGACAGCAGCTAATGTAAAAAGCCAGAGCTCAGTATAGGCTTGAGTTTAATATAGAAATAGTGTTAGCAGTGGACGGTGCATTAGGAATACGGCAGTCGGCTAAACGCCCGAGTCCGACGATGTCTGAACATCAAGTTTGTCTTTTATAAAGTGTGGAGCACCTTTAAGAGCTGAGCTTGGGGTGGGGGTCCCTGTTGACACCACCACTATCGCCGCTTATGTCCACATATCAATCACAAGTTTTGCATGGAGCCTAATGGGCAGACGAAGTGTATAGGTGGGACTGGGAGCCTAAAAGCATATACGGAAGCCGCTGTGTCACGGGCATTTTACAGCCGAACGTCTCAGGGCAGCAGGTTGCAGAAATTAAAAACACGTGAATTTGTATAGTAGAGGGAGCACCGCATGCCACTGTAATAAATTAAACACCAATATAATTTACCGAACTAAAGTCATTTAGATCTATTCGTCAGGCTAAAAGTCGCTCAAGTCTCAACTCCCTAGTGCCTGTTTTGATTTTTTTTTAATTACGCGGTATCTCTTTCTTTAACATTAGCCTAATGACAAATGACGTCACGCGCGCCGAGAACTTGGTGACGTTGTGCTAAGTGGGGATGAAACGGCGGGGTTAAGAAAAATGACGTATTTCTTTTTTTTAACAGACGAATAAGGGGGTCATCCATAAATGACGTCACGCTTTTTTGGACGATTTTTACCTCCCCCCTCCCATCCGTCACACGTCGTCACAAGAAGCCAGGACCCCCCCCCCCCTAAAATGACGTCACACTTCAGCCTATAACCCCCCTTAAAATTGCAGTTGAATTTTTTTAAAACATCGATATTTTTCCAAAATCTTGTCTGAACGCTGTCAAAATAGAGTATTTTAATCAATTGCTATTACAATTTATTAAAACAATTTTCTAAAACGCAAAATAACTTCTAAAATTCGTTTTCTAACATTGCATTTTTATAATGCAAAAGCGTGACGTCACCCCATATGACCCCCCCCCCTCCCCCTCATCACACACCGTCACAAAATTACGGACCCCCTCTCCCCCCTATGAGTGTGACGTCATTTATGGACGACCCCTAAGTGATAGATTCTAATTCTCCTACGAACTATAGGTTGATCTAGTTTTTTTCTAGAGGGAGATATCACTATATAGTGGGTGTTTTTTGTTTTTGTAAGAATGGGTGGTGGGGAGGGGTAAACATCGACTATTGAACAAATAAAAAACTGATGAAAGCAGAAGGCAAAGAAAAAAAACCATGTGGTATTCAAATGTAACTAATTAAAATTTAAAACTATTTTTATAAACACAATAATCTTAATTCAGAAAAAGTGTAGGCTTAAGACTAATGTCTACAGACAAAATAAACAACTAGGCTTAAATGGATCACCCATAAACAGTGCCCCCGTATTATCAGAGGCGTAGCGACGCTTCCAGGCGCCCGGGGACAAGCTTACGATTTGCACCCCCCCCCCTCAAACTTTCAATTTCTTTTTCCAACCCATTTTGGCGCCCCACCCCCCCCCCCCTCCCCCCCTACGGACAGCGCCGTAGGCGACAGCCTAGTTCGCCTTATAGGTAGCGCCGGCACTGTCCATAAATGACATCATACTTTTCCCGACGAATTCCCTTTCCCCCAATCGTCACTAAAAGCAAGATGATGATTTAATATCATATCGCAGTTCTACTACTATACCCGAACGCGTAATCACAATTTCTAACGAAAACGAATATATTGTTCATCATTTTTTTTTTTATATTTTACCCCGTCCCATATTTTGAGTCCAACGTCATTTATGAAGTATATGGACTTCCTAATAATTGACAAGTTAATCAGTACAAAAGGGTTTAATAAATGTTGGACCTCCCAAACGTCTTTGAGATCTTGGATGTACATACATACATAGCCTTCATTTCAATTGAAATTAAAGATAAGAAGACGGCCCTCTGTACTACTTACATTAAACAAGACAGCTATGTATATTAAACAACAAAGTCAACACAATATACATACGAATAGACATTTGTATCAAGGGAAACTACTCTAAATTTTATTTGGAAAGATGGCCGCTGTTTTTATCTACTAATATTTATCTCAAACACCTAGTTTAAAGTTAGTTTCATGATGTTTTAAATTGTTTTGGTCACTGATTGTTATTTTAAATCAATTATCTGTTATATTTTGTAAAATTTGACTTAAATAAACGTATTTAGACAAATGTATTCATCAGTTACCTCTCCCGCACATTTCTACTGCAGCCGAATTGATTACGCTAAAACGATAGATTACCAGTTTTGTTTTAAAACAATACAAATGATATCTTCAACAGGGATAAATCTAGATTTAGAAAAGATTTTTTTAGAGTCCAGATCTAGATTCTAGATCTTCTAGATCTAGTTGTAGATTTGCCAGATCTCCATGGTCGTGTAGCCAGTATTGCCGATAAATATTGTTTTTAAATATACAACACACTAAACATTCCTTTACGCCAGTGGATTAAAATAGTGGTCCTATAGTAAGTCGAGATATATACATCATGTTGTTATAATGCATATGGAGGGCAGAGTTTCTTCCAGGCATCTCTTCGGGGGGGCTTCGCCCCCCCGAAAAATTTTTACCGCCCCCCCCGAACGAAATGAAATTTATATAATTTATATAGAAAATATATACTTTTAACAGTGTCCGCCCCCCCGAAGAAAGTTTACCGCCCCCCCGAAGATTTCAAGTGCCCCCCCGGAGAAAAAAATCTGGAAGAAACACTGATGGAGGGGGGGGGGGTTAATAGTTCCCATATGTCTGCATGTATAGATTTACAATAATCTATTTATATATTATCATACATTCTTGACTATTTTGAGAACGCAACACAGAGGATTGATGACATGCACAAGTTATAGAAACTACACGAAAACGTCCAATAACTGTAGCTAACGTCCGGTTGAGTTATTTGAGTTATGACCTTCCCAACCCCCCTACACTCACTTATATATATATATATATATATATATATATATATATATATATAGGCTTATATATAAATAGTATATATATATATATATATATATATATATATATATATATATATATATATATATATATATATATATATATATATATATATATATATATATATATATAAACGATAATGTAAAAAAATTAACGTTTAGCTCATAGTGTGTGGTTGTAGTCATTGACGCGTATTCCCTCCCATCTTCTCCCCCCCCCCCCCCCCCCTGAAGACAGGGGTTTGACCTGAGATACTGCTCGTGGTAAATGACTGGAAACGACTTCCCGACGGGTTATGAACGACCTTAATCTTTTACCCGGTAGAGCTCTCGTCGATCGGACTTAGTGTAGCGTCCCAGGGCGGGGGTGCTGACTGCAGGGGGTGAGGCTATCAGGGGGTGAGGCTATCAGGAGGGTGACGCTATCAGGGGGGTGACATCAGTGTTTTAGGCACACGTTTACCCCCCCCCCCCTCCCCCTCCCGAACGAAATAGAATTAATATAGAAAATATATATTCATTTTACCAGTGTCCTTCCACACATCCCCGTGGAAAATTTAGTCCGCCCCCCCCCCTTCACCACGGGCATACGGTGTGGTGGAATTGGGTAAGCCACTAGCTAGGCTAGAAGTAGTCTGCTGCAATACCACCCCCCCCCCCCTGTCAAAAATCTTCCTGGGTACCAGACCACAAGGGAGGGACGTCCCCGTGGTCTGCACCCCCGGGGATCTAACGAACATGGGCGGGGCATTTCTAGCAAATGCCCCAACCTCTTCCTAGCGGTGGAGGCTGTTATAAGGGACAATAACTCGGACGGTAAAAAATATCGATTTAGAAAAAAAAGAAAGATAAGTCGCCTATTGCAATAATTAAACTCTACTGCATATCTGATTTTAATTAAACTGTGTACAGAAATACAAGGCTAGATTTAGCGTTAATAAAGTTTAGGGTGTATATAATAATTCACAAAGCTTATGTTTAAATAAATTATTAAGCATGGCTTTGTTTATCAAGTTTAACCAAACCTTACTATTTTTGGATTCGATACTTCAACCGCCAACGATGTATATGGTTAGATTTCTGACTAGTTATAGACGTGATAGGTAGGTGTTAAGAACGGAGTTGAATAATTATACGCCTGTGTGTGTACGTCTACTAGCTCAAGCTGGAAGGCCCATGTGGAATGTAGGTCCGGATTCGGGACTGTAAGGCGTCCCTGAGTCCACCCAGCTCTGATGGGTACCTGACTCACGTTAGGGAAAGTTACGGCGGCTGGACATAGTGCTGAACACTCTATTAACTCTACTTCATGTGCCCTATACATCTTTAGATCTGAAAAGGGAGCATTACTTTTACATTTTGTGTGTACTTCTAATCGACAATTATGCCTAGAAATTTTATATTTGCTGCTTTTTTTTTTTGAAGTTACGTTTAGGCTGAACTGGCTGAGACTGTTTTAACTAACCGGGTGTAGCAGAAATCAAACGATGGTCGTTCTGCGCATGCTGTTCAACGCGAAGTCAACCAGGGCGTTGTTCTTCCTCCTCCTCAGCTGGGTTCCAATCTTGGTGTTCATCTACACGTCCATGACCTTCCACCAGAAAGCCCGCAACGCCACACAACCGACGACTCGCGTTCAAGCCTGCGTGCACCCTACACTGCAGTTAGGAGACCCAGCCATACTTCGGAGTACGTACACCGTGAAAGCCCCCATTTGCACGAGCACAGACTTGGTCCAAGTTACGAACGGGACAGTCCAACTTTTAACCGACAGAGAATGTGATTACACCCCTATACACAGAGTAAACGACGACAAGATCCACTATGGTAAAGTCGTGAAAAACATCCCCGACGGTTTCCGGATTTCGACGGATTTTTTCAAAATCTACTGCGATCGGAAAACGGAGTACCACGCCAGTGCGGCGTTCAAGAATGAACTCTGGAAGCGAAAGGAAGCGGATCTTAGAGACGGGTTTGGCGGGCTCGGTATCGCGATGCTGGGCTTTGATTCCGTGTCGCGGATGGCGTGGCTGAGGCAGATGCCGAAGACCAGGAACTACTTCCTCCAGCTGGGCGCCATCGAGCTCCAGAGCCACAACATCGTGGGCGACGGCACCACGGCGGTGTTTCTACCCATGCTGACCGGCAAGTTTGAGTGGGAACTGCCGGAATGCCGGTAAATTTGTTGTTGTTGTTTCCATGTGGTATATGATGGTGTTGGGGACGGTTGGAGGGACTAGCCCAGGACAGAGATGCCTGGAAAGCTTTTGTCCGCGGCTTTTGTCCAGTCAGGGACGACAGGGTAGCCAATGACGGTGTCCATAAACAATGCAACAAGTCGAGTGGGGAGGGTGTGAGGGAAGGAGGGTGGGGAATAATAAATGTGACTTTTTATTTTGTAAGAACATGAATGATGAATAAACGTTTCAATGGCGATGTTTTTTTTTAAACAGAAAGTATGTGACTTTTTTTTGCAGATGGGAGGGGGGATGATTTTACGAACACTAAGGAAGGACATGAAATGGTTGTGTAATTGTTGTGCCTGGAAAGCTTTTGTCCGCGGCTTTTGTCCAGTCAGGGACGACAGGGTAGCCAATGACGGTGTCCATAAACAATGCAACAAGTCGAGTGGGGAGGGTGTGAGGGAAGGAGGGTGGGGAATAATAAATGTGACTTTTTATTTTGTAAGAACATGAATGATGAATAAACGTTTCAATGGCGATGTTTTTTTTTAAACAGAAAGTATGTGACTTTTTTTTTGCAGATGGGAGGGGGGATGATTTTACGAACACTAAGGAAGGACATGAAATGGTTGTGTAATTATAATTATCTAAATATTTCTTCACGTGATTTGAGACTTAATCCATTACCATTTTTTTGTGTACTATCAGGACAGGGGGAGCATTGAGGCTATTTTTGTCTTGTGCTTCCGTTATTGTGTTGTGTGATTGAAGAATGGAATAGAATTTAATTTTAGCTTAGGGATGGGGTAACGATATGAGCAGTTTCTTCCAGGCATCTCTTCTTTAAACAGTGTCCGCCCCCCCCCCCCCCCCGGAGAAAAAGTCTGGAAGAAGCACTGGATATGAACAAAACATATTGTGCCTCCCATCATTTAACTTGATGTATTTCCACCTATACTTGAATTAAGTTAGAGAAACGAGTAGAACAAAAAACAAATGGCATCGAACAAACTATACTGACAATTATGTTGATTGCCTAGAACATCTAACGGAAAATGCACTTTATGCCCTGAATTCCATCAGATTTTCATTTTCTTTCAAGCATCTTTTCGTGAGTGTTTACCTCTCCCCCCCCCCCCCCCCCCTACGAAATAAAAAATAAAATTTGCAGACAAAATATATACTTAAACTAGTGTTCCACCGCCCCCCCCCCCCCCGCCCCCTTAAGGAAAAAAAATGTCTGAAAACAACATTGACGCCAAAAAAAAAAGTTTAAATTCATTTTTTATGATAAAATATTCACATGTCCATAGCACGTCAACTAACGAAACTATTTCATCATGGGCTTCACAGGCGGAAATTTAATAACGCTAAATATATGGACAAGTTCCCCTTTCTGTGGCACCCGTTTAAAGACGCTGGGTACCTCACTTCTTGGTGCAACGGGGACCCGACGGCAGCGCCTTTCAACTACCGGATGCTTGGGTTCAACCATCAGCCCACAGACTTCTACACCCGGCCGTTCTACTTAGCCATGAACAAGAGGAGGCAGTACCAGAACTATTGTATCGGCTCGGTGCTGGCCAGCCGAGTGTGGTTAAACTACTTCCGGGATATTTTCACCGTCTATTATAAGAAGCGGAAGTTCCTGATTCACTTCCTGGTGGAGATGAGTCACGACAACAACAATTTGTTGAACCAGGTGAGCAGCACAATGTAATGGCAATGCATCTAAATATTTTATACAGCCTTTATATTAGATTTATATACCTTGTATATATATATATATATATATATATATATATATATATATATATATATATATATATATATATATATATATATATTTATATATATATATTTATATATATATTTATATATATATATATATATATATATATATATATATATATATATATATATATATATATATATATATATATATATATATTTGTATGTATGTATATATATATGTGTATATATATACATAAATATATATATACTATGGATGTATATATATATATAGAGGGAGAGAGAGATAGATAGATAGACAGACAGACAGATAGATAAATTGAGGAAATCTGCAGGCCCTATCTTTGTATTTTTCTATAGATGGACGCAGACCTAAGGGACCTAATTGAGTTTCTCAACAACGGCGACTATCTGAACAACACTGTCTTGGTGCTCATGGGGGACCACGGTGCCAGGTACCACCAGGTCAGGTACACCTGGCAAGGTAAAATGGAAGAGAGGCTGCCCTACTTCTCCTTCCTGTTCCCCAAATGGTTTGAAGAGAAATACCCCGAGGCCATCCAAAACCTGCGGACAAACACCCGTAGACTGACCACGCCTTTTGATATCCACGAGACGTTGAAAGATTTTTTACATTTTGATGGGACGGGGGTGGGGAATGTCTCCAAAAGAGGGATCAGTTTGTTTAAGGAGATTCCATTGGAGCGGACTTGCGAGCATGCAAAGATTGCGCCACATTGGTGCGCATGTCTGGATTGGAAGAAAGTCTCTTTTAAAGATAAAAAAGTGAAAAGAGCGCTAAGCGTGGCGCTGAAAACAATCAACGGCTTCACCCAGCGTTACAGGAAAGAGTGTGCCTTGCTGTCCGTTCAAAGTATCGACGCCGCCGTCACCTACGAAACCAGGAAAGAGATCCTCAAATTTTTACACACCGACACCAACGGCGGAATCTACAAGGTCAACCTGACCCACAACGGTCAGAACGAGCTGGCCTTGTACCAGCTGACCTTCACTACTTCCCCCGGCGGGGGTCAGTTCGAGGTCACGGTCACGAACGACATTGCCCGGAAACAGTACCACCTGCCGGAAGACCAAATCAGCCGGATAAACAAATATGGCGACGATCCCAAGTGTATTTTGGAGAAGAACAGACAACTCCGTGCATACTGTTACTGCAACAACACCAACCAGACGGAAAGCGCTGTGTAACACCCCCCCCCCCACACCGACAATGCCCCTAAAAAATAACAGTTTAGTCGTTATCTCGTTATTTTTCATCAGTATATTCGTGATTTTGCTCCATCTGTTTCTCTTCCACAATGCTATACTATATTATATTTAGACCATCGCAAGCCGGTAGCTAACAATTTGTGTCAAATTTAGTTGTTACTTGCAAGCCTCAAGGCTGTGCTGTTAAAATAAAATAAAAAATTAAATTAATGGTTTACGTGTTTAATTAAATTTATTTTTAGTTTTGGTAGTAAATTGCGCACTTTTATGTCGAGTGTGTGAAACTTGCCCCATGGACCGTCAGGTTCGAAAGGGAACTTTACTTATGTCGAATGGCCAGAAATGAATCCGCGATCAGACCAAGGTATTTCATAATTTAAAAAAACCAATAGTGTACAACAGGTGAGCTAAAACTGGCTGCATTTGACCTCATTCAATCTCAGGGACCCTCAACTGTTGGGATTCCCTCCTCCCCTAAACCTTAACTTAAATTTACAAGTGATTCCTATTGTTTACAAGATTTCATTTAGTACGCAATTGTTATAGTCATAAAACTCAGTTGTATTAAAGTTTTTTTTAAAGTGCTGAAAAGAAAATTCATTTTTAAAAAGTTTTAATAACGACCTTTTTTATAATTATGCACTAAAAAGGAGAAAGTAAATGATTTTCATTAAATATATTGTAATGCACCACTATTTAAAGAACTAAACAGAAAGTTTGGGTAGCTTCTTAGACTTTAGTCAAGGTATTCATTAACAGTGACCCACTTAAATAGTGTTGCACACTATTTTAAGAAAATCATTTATTTTCTCCTTTTTAGTGCATGATTATATAAAGGCTTATTATTACAACAATTTTATGACATTTTTGTTTGATAGGCTAAACTTTTTACCTTAAATACAAACCATGGATATAAATAAACCGGTAGTGATCTCCCCTAAACTTTCTCGAATATTCTTATATAAAACAACAGGGGATGGTAACTGGGGATATAGTTATGATTTTTAATCCATTGTAAATACTTAAACTTTTAAAAATAGAATAGAATCTCATAAAAAAAACATTGCGCACCAAGCAAACGCCGAATAAAAACGCGTATAATAGTGCGCAATATTATTAGTACTTTAAAAATTTACATTAGTTTTTTGAGAAATCGGAAGTAGCGTAAATTACTACTTCCAGTCAACGGAAATTACTCAAAATTTAACAGAAGGTAGAGAATTAGATCATTTACTTACATGTGAAATTTCATTTATCTATCTGAAATAGTACTCAAGTTATAGGCTTTTGAAAAATTCAAAGTAGGAAAAGTACCACTTCCGGTTATCGGAAATCGCTCAAAAGTTGATACGGATCTACGATTTTGATAAAATACTTATATATGAAATTTCATCAACCTAGCTGTAACGGTACTCAAGTTATCGTGTTTACACACAGACACACACACGGACAGACACACACACACACAGACATACGGACAAGATTGCAAAATTATGTTTTTCCGTATCAGTGAGGTGTAAAACGTCGAGATTTGTAAAAATCTCGATTTTTTTTTTTTTTGCACGATTACAATACTTTCTCTATACTACGTATATACGAGAAAGTAAAAAAACAACATTGCCAGCTTAGGTTTTAAAGTTAGAAACTTTTTAATGACCAATTTTAAACAAGCTGCATTAAAAGTAAGTGGAGGGCGACTTAATCAAGTTCACCCTTTAACTTGAAACTTCATCAGTGCTCGATTTTGTTATTAAACTACTTTATTCACCCCAATTAGCAGGGAGATAACTCTCAATAATCTTGGTAAATTATTTTTAGTTTGCAAAAATTGGAATAAATTTAAAAAATGTATAAATATTTAAAATTTTTTAAAATGAACAACGATGTGAGTAAAACAAAATGAAATGTACAATTGGTATAACTATGAACAATTAAAACTCAAGACGCCAACAACAGTTCAGTATTCCTGCTGACCTCCCATTGACCAGGGGTCAGAGCTGGCGCCATCACTGTGCCCAGGGGGTCCTGACCAGCCACCTCCGCTGCCCTCCCCTGTGGTGTAGCTTGCAGGGTTGCCCTGATATCCTGTTCCAAACCCAGCACCTCTGGGTTTACTAAACCCCCCACCCCTGTTACCAAATCCTGATCCCCTCTCACCAAACCCTGCACCTCTCTCACCAAACCCTGCACCTCTCTCACTAAACCCTGCACCCCTATCACCAAACCCTGCACCCCTTTCTCCAAAACCTGCACCTCTCTCACCAAACCCTGCACCCCTGTCTCCAAACCCTGCACCTCTCTCACCAAACCCTGCACCCCTGTCTCCAAACCCTGCACCTCTCTCACCAAACCCTGCACCCCTGTCTCCAAACCCTGCACCTCTATCACCAAACCCTGCACCTCTGTCTCCAAAGCCTGTACCCCTGTCTCCAAACCCAGCACCCCTGTCCCCAAAACTTGCTCCTCTATCCCCAAATCTCCCAGCCCTCCCAGAGCCTCCATATCCCCCTCTATATCCTAACCCTCCACTAGATCCTCCGTACCCACCCCTTCCACGGAAACCTCCTGAATAACCCCCTGAATCTAAACGAGCCATTTTAGCAGGAGGGCCACCTCTGTTCAAACTGCCACTGAAAATTTAAATAAATAAAAGAAAGCTTATTTTCTGCACAATAGAATGATCAAGAATTTTTCTTAAAAACTCTAACTGGAGCACATTTGTATAGAGAAGTTGTTTCTTTTTTTTACTTCGATTTCCCCCTTTTTTAACCCCAGTATCAACCCTCTGGCAGATAAGGCTCGATCCCTCCCAACACTAAAAATTAAGAACGAAGAAGAAGAAGAACCCCAGTATTAGTATGTGATAGGTTCACTACAACTAAAATCTGAATATAGCAGTATGTTTTTATTTTTTTATAAGTGAATTATAATATTACCAGCATTAAAATCGGTCAGACTACAGATATAAAGGTGAAAACGAAAAGAAAAGATGTTTCAACCTGAAAAATAATTTAACCCCCCCCCCCCCTTAAACACTTCTTGTATTTCTCTGGTTGTTCCCCTTTACACACTAACTCCAGTTATCAACACAATGACTTGGTCAATTATTTTATAGAATTTCTGTGCACTAAATTATAATACATTAAATTTAAAGTCTAATCATAAAAAATTAAGTGAAGTTATAATCTGATATAGTATCCAGCCTAACTAATCCTAAAATGTTTCTATGAGCTGCTTCATGCTAATATAAACTGTTAGTTCAGCATTTACTATTAAAAATGTGACATGACCACTATTAGTGATACTAACTTTTGAGTATAGGGCTGGTAAGTAGGTCACCAACCAGTTCTACGGCTCAATAAAACCTGCATGAGCCATAGAATTAGTTGGTGACCTACTTACCAGCCCTATATCTACTTCAATCTTTAGCTCAAAGTGTTAAATAAACAGAATGGTAACTGCAGTATGGCAAAAAAAGCATCTTATTTTCTAATTAAAAATAATTCAGAAAAAAGACAATGAAAGAGCAAGGAACCTGTCTTGAGAGAGCCCAAATTTCCCAGCTTGGGGCCGGGACAGAGCCCTGATCAGAGCCATCAAACTTTCTTCTTGGGGCCCAGGGGCAGCGATCTGCTCGGGCTCTTTGGTGGCTCGGATTATCAGAGCCTCTAGGGGTGGTCTCAGGGCCACAATCTTTGCAGCTTGGAGAGCATCCATTTTCAAGCTAATCCTATGACAGGGAGATAACACACATTTAAGGTTTAATATAAAATAAAGAGAAATATTTTCTCCAATTCTGGCCCCTTGTTCATTATTAAACTAATCCTATAGGGGTAAATAATACAGGTCTGAGATGAAGTCAATAATTTAACAAAATTTTGAAAATATGTTTTATGAAAAAACAACTTAAAGCCTACTTTTTAAATATCGGTGTTGCAAGTAAAAATATTTTATACGAGAAAAATGGCCCGTTGAGGAAGGATACAACGGGCGCTAGGTTGGTAGTGCTGTCTATTTTCTCTAAACTAAAACCAAAACCAAAATCACCACCTTAATTCAATTTAACCGGAAACGAAAAATCACATTGAAAATGGATTTGTATCCAGAATCGGTTCTTTAATTTATACAAAATATAGTCATAGGCATATCCCTAAACCATGCACATAATCTTATTCATGACAAAAGTCGCATTTAGAGTTTCTTTCATGCAACTCTACTTGGAAGGAGGGGGCTCCGCCCCCCCCCCCCCCCCCCCCCCACCACACACAACCCAAAACATGTCTACCGTCCCATTCAACGAAATATAATTATATACTTTTTCCAGTGTCCGCCCCCTCCCAGAAAATACTACCCCCGCCCCCGAAAATTTCAAGTACCCTCACCCCTCTCCGGGGAGGAAAAAGTCTGAAAGAAACACTGGTCGCATTTGTAGATCATACAAACTAAAGGAAGAACCTGGGCGGGGAAGAGATGCATGAAAAAAACTGTGCACGCTAAACACTTTTTAGATTAGAAAATGTTCCCCCCTCCGGGGAGGAAAAAGTCTGAAGGAAACACTGGTGTCGCGCTTAGCCACTACCTGAAGAATTGCATGAAAGAAACTGCAAGCAAACCACTTTTTAGCATAGACACATTAATTAGGCGGTAATTTTATTATATTATATATACTATATGCTAAATGTGACGTCATATTTCGTTTCCGTCTTACTGTGCATGTTTTTGATTTGCTTGTGTTTTCTCTATAGCGTTCTTGTCAGATAGATACACAGACAGATAGATACATACACAGACAGTGAAACTATTAGTATTAATTATTTATCTATACGACCAATCAGAAGAAATTTTTTTTCTAAAAATTGTTTTTCAACTGACGTTACTCACATAAAAAGACAGTAATGTGAGATCAATCTCTACTAGAAATGGGTAAAAGTAAAACTACAACCAACCAATTGTCCAGAGATCAATCTCTAATAGAAATGGGTAAAAGTAAAACTACAACCAACCAAGTATCAAGAGATCAATCTCTACTAGAAATGGGTAAAAGCAAAACTAGAACCAACCAATTGTCAAGAGATCAATCTCTACTAGAAATGGTTAAAAGCAAAACTAGAACCAACCAATTGTCAAGAGATCAATCTCTAATAGAAATGGGTAAAAGTAAAACTACAACCAACCAATTGTCCAGAGATCAATCTCTAATAGAAATGGGTAAAAGTAAAACTACAACCAACCAAGTATCAAGAGATCAATCTCTACTAGAAATGGGTAAAAGCAAAACTACAACCAACCAATTGTCCAGAGATCAATCTCTACTAGAAATGGGTAAAAGTAAAACTACAACCAACCAAGTATCAAGAGATCAATCTCTACTAGAAATGGGTAAAAGCAAAACTAGAACCAACCAATTGTCAAGAGATCAATCTCTACTAGAAATGGTTAAAAGCAAAACTAGAACCAACCAATTGTCAAGAGATCAATCTCTACTAGAAATGGGTAAAAGTAAAACTACAACCAACCAAGTATCAAGAGATCAATCTCTACTAGAAATGGTTAAAAGCAAAACTAGAACCAACCAATTGTCAAGAGATCAATCTCTACTAGAAATGGGTAAAAGTAAAACTACAACCAACCAATTGTCAAGAGATCAATCTCTACTAGAAATGGGTAAAAGTAAAACTACAACCAACCAATTGTCCAGAATGATCTCCTCTTCCTGTTTGGCCACCTGTCTTGCACCAAACAACAGCAGCTGTACAGGTGAAACATTGGTCATCTGCTTGCACGACACAGCGCGGGTGCGTATCTGGGGAGACAAAAATTTACATTGGACATATGAAAACTTGCTCAAAATCAAAGTAAACCCCATTTGTTTAAATTCTTTATTAAGGTGTTTTTAACATAATTTGCCTGTTTTTGTATGTGTTTTGTTCAATGATTCTAGCTTTCCAAATAGTAAATTGTTTATACTGTTTCTTACTACATACTTTTTCTTTTGAAAAAATGTATATTCATTAAAAACAATTCACCTTTTGATATTATAAAAAAATTTAAGTATGAAATTCCTGAAATAAATTATGATTTATAATTACAGAGCCACTTTTCTACATTGTTTTGTTAGTCAGTCTGTTAAACATTTTGGATTAAGTCTATTCTATGTTTGTAATGTACTACATTTGTAAAGAAGTAATCCAAGATGTTTGTATGAGTTTAATGAGCTACATTTGTAAAGAAAAGTAATCCAAGTTGTTTGTATAAGTATATGCTACATTAGTCAAGAAAAGTAATCCAAGATGTTTGAATGAATGTTAGTGTAATGTACTATGTTTGTCAAGAAAAGTAATCCAAGATGTTTGTATGAGTGTAATATACTACTTTTGTCAAGTAGAAGAACTGTATAGTATCAGTGAAATGAAAGCTTAAATAAATGGTCTCACCTTCTCCCCAAAGATAAAAAATGGGGACGGGAATTCTATGGCGAAGTTACTGCAGTTAACAGAGGACTTGTGGACCAGGGCTGACTTAAACTCCTGGGTTAAGACTTTGCGCTTCTCTTTATGGAAACACACATTGGGGTACAGCCCAATACACAGTAGTGTGATAGCCTGAAATATAATTATACACATACTATACTTATGTAATTACAATTATGATGTTTCATTTTTAAGTGGATGTACTCAAAAAAAAACATTTTTAGAAAAAAAAATTTAAATTGAAGCTCAATTTAAACTATTTTAAGCAAGTGTAAAATTTTTAAAAATGTTTTGAATAATGTCTGCTCTAAAAGTTTGAAATTTTACAAAAGTTTTTAATAATAATGATTATTTTCAATTTTATGAAATATTTCATTTAGATTTTTTTTATGTTCTAACTAAACTGTTACCTGCTTATATATTTCTTTCTACATGAATAATTATTCTTCAGTCAAAATCATTTTCCTTTGTTTCTCATTGTAGTAAACCTATTATATTTTATAGGCTTGTATAAAAACAAGAAGAGAAAGAGGATGTACAAAATCCTAACAATTTTCCTTACAATATCCAATCTGTTGTCTGGGCCTGTGACGTTGAAGCCCTGTGGCAGGAGACTTTCCTCTGGGAAACCTGCATTGATGAGGATATCCCTCAGCTGGTTCTGGGGGGGTAAAAAAGTGTAACAACAATGTATGTCACTGTAATTATACATCATAATGTGGCAAATTTTTACACTTTATCTAATCAGAGACCAAATTAGACAAACATGGTTGTTTGATCCAGGGTTATTGTGTTGAAGCAGTAGGTCTAGGATGAATTGGTGTTAAATACTGCACTCTCATACTTAAAATTACCCCAAGCCTCGAACATTACATGTCAATATATACTTTAAACTTTGTACACTTCTTCTTAAAATTACCTCAGTCTATGCCATTACATGTAAATATAAAATTCAATTAAATGATGTACATTCACCCAAAGAAAATTACCTGTCCCTATCATTATATGTAAACATGAATGTCAATTAAATGATGTACATTCACCCAAATAAAATTACCTTTGCCTCCCATGTCATGCGCAGAGTCTGCATGTTGAGAGATTTGTGCTCACAAAAACTAATTTCAGAATTTTCTCCTCCAGATCTAAAATTAAAAAAAACTTTACTAAAACCAGCATCAGTACACATAATCCTAATACATCATGCTCTTAATATTCTTCTCTGCTGTTGTTTTTGAGGCAATTTTTAGATATAACAAAACGGGCTGTGTATAACGTGTACACTAAAAAATTGCTCATAAATTCATGTTATTTTTTTTATTTAAATAAAAGTGAAAACCTTGGTAACGATTTTGTTTTTCCTAAGTATCATAAAAATAGATGAAATAATGAGTAATAAAATAATGTAACTGAATAATAAAAAAAAATGTTTAACCTTGCTTCCTCCCACATTTGGAAGGCATTAAGTAAAGCGACGTGGTCACTGGCCCTGCTCCCAGCCATGTTTTTATGTACCCAGCCCAGCCTCCTGCGGTCCGTGGGCACAATGAAAGGTTCAGGGAATGTGGTGCTGGCTGCTATAGTGCACATGGCGTCACCCACACTGTAAATAATGTAGATACATGGCTAGTAATACAGGCAGGACTGTCAGAGGGATTAGGTTAAATGTCACTTAAGATATATAGATTATATAGATATATAAGATATACAGAAAACTTTAAGTCACTGCAGTGACAGTTCTTGATATTATGAAGTTGAATATAAACATTTAAAGCTATACTAATTTAAGAAAACAGTTTGTTTATTAAATGATATAAGTCACATTCTTACAAACAAGATTAGTTCCTATTAACATATAGTTCTTTTGAAAATACTAATGATATGTATCAATTTACAAGCCACTTTTGTCATCACATCAGTGAAGAAGACTTTTATGTGAATCACCAATGAGAAGAAACACAAGAAAATTGCCACTTACTAAAAAATACATCCATAAATAATCATTTTTCCCAATCTGGGTTCAATAGGCATCTTGGCCAGTATTTTTCCCAGGGGAGTTAACTCATCATTTGAATCCAGAGCTCTCATTCCTGATAAAAGTATTAAAAGTGGGTGCAATTAATAAATAATTAAATGATTTTATTGATAATTGTTTTAAAATCTGTATTTAAGACACACTGCTCAATAATTTAATACATTAACTTTAATAAGATGCAATCATTATTTGAATTTTTAAAAAAAGAAACTATCTTTGAATTTGATATAAATTTAAATAAACCGGGAGTGATCTCCCCTAAACTTTCTCGAATATTCTTATATAAAATAACAGGGGATGGGAACTCGGGCTATAGACATGATTTTTAATCCATTTTAAATACTTAAAGTTTTAAAAATAGAATAAAATCTCGTAGACAAATTAATTGCACACCAAGTGAACGCCCAATAAAAAAGCGCATAATAGTGCGCAATATTATTAGTACTTTTAAAATTTACATTAGTTTTTTGAGAAATCGGAAGTAGCGTAAATTACTACTTCCAGTCAACGGAAATTACTCAAAATTTAACAGAAGGTAGAGAATTAGATCTTTTACTTACATGTGAAATTTCATTTATCTATCTGAAATAGTACTCAAGTTATAGGCTTTTGAAAAATTCAAAGTAGGAAAAGTACCACTTCCGGTTATCGGAAATCGCTCAAAAGTTGATACGGATCTAAGATTTTGATATAATACTTATATATGAAATTTCATCAACCTAGCTGTAACGGTACTCAAGTTATCGTGTTTACACACGGACACACAGACACACACACACAGACATACGGACAAGATTGCAAAATTATGTTTTTCCGTATCAGTGAGGTGTAAAACGTCGAGATCTGTAAAAATCTCGATTTTTTTTTTTGCACGATTACAATACTTTGTATATACGAGAAAGTAAAAAGAAAGAAACTATCTCTGTCTAGGTATAGGAGTATTTATAAGAAATGTATACATTTTATTAATATAGAAGCTCGATAAGATGTTTAATGTTTGTAATGTGTACCTTAATTTTAAAAACTCAAAAATATTATCATCAGGTCTATATTAAATAAGTAGCTTAAAAAAAATGGGTACCCTTTAGCATGACTTCAGCCTCAATGACAGCATCTATAGGTGGAGGTTCCACAGCTTTAGCCAGAAACAAACCAATAGGACCAAGTCTCAACAGCTTGATGGACAGGGCTAGCTCATGTAAAGGTGTTCTGAATATCTCTGGGGTGGAATGTTGCTCCAGCCTATAACATAAATAATTAGATGTTTAACCCTTTACAGTCTGATGGACAGGGCTAGCTCATGTAAAGGTGTTCTGAATATCTCTGGGGTGGAATGTTGCTCCAGCCTATAACAAAGTAAAAACTAGATGTTTAACCCTTTACAGTCTAATGGACAGGGCTAGCTCATGTAAAGGTGTTCTGAATATCTCTGGGGTGGAATGTTGCTCCAGCCTATAACATATAAATAAAAAGTTACATATTTAATCCTTTACAGTCTGATGCCATCAGAATTTAGGAATACTTAAAAAAAAAAAATCAGCTGGACAAATATGACATTCCAAAGTATTTTAAAAAATATTAAACATTTGTAATGAAGCCAGGCTTATTTGGTGAAAAAATATAATGTTATGAAACTTTTAATCAAATTGTAACACATACAAATATATATTTTTAAAAGGCTTTCTGATGGTTCATAATTTACTCATATAATTATATATAGATAGAGTAATAAAACTTTCATGTTCATGGTTACTGCTTCTTAGGTAAACATCATGTGATATGACTGAACTTCTGGGTATGTAAAGAGTTAACAGATTTAACAGTTACTATGGGGTAAATACAATATCTATAAACATCAACTCATAAATAAAGTAAGTAGCTACCTTTCAAACCTGGCTTTGCTACACAGGTGAAAGGAGAATCCTGCCCTAACACGACCTGCACGCCCTCTTCTTTGTTCAAGGTTAGTTTTGCTGGCCCAGACAGTGGCATAGTTGGTCATGTTGTTGTGTGATGTGAACAACTTCATCTTTACTCTGGTAGGAAAAATATTTTTACATAGTTGGTCATGATGTAAACAGCTTCATCTTAACTCTGGTAGGAAAAATATGTTTACATAGTTGGTCATGATGTAAACAGCTTCATCTTAACTCTGGTAGGAAAAATATGTTTACATAGTTGGTCATGATGTAAACAGCTTCATCTTCACTCTGGTAGGAAAAATATTTGTACATAGTTGGTCATGATGTAAACAGCTTCATCTTAACTCTGGTAGGAAAAATATGTTTACATAGTTGGTCATGATGTAAACAGCTTCATCTTAACTCTGGTAGGAAAAATATGTTTACATAGTTGGTCATGATGTAAACAGCTTCATCTTAACTCTGGTAGGAAAAATATGTTTACATAGTTGGTCATGATGTAAACAGCTTCATCTTAACTCTGGTAGGAAAAATATGTTTACATAGTTGGTCATGATGTAAACAGCTTCATCTTCACTCTGGTAGGAAAAATATTTGTACATAGTTGGTCATGATGTAAACAGCTTCATCTTAACTCTGGTAGGAAAAATATGTTTACATAGTTGGTCATGATGTAAACAGCTTCATCTTAACTCTGGTAGGAAAAATATGTTTACATAGTTGGTCATGATGTAAACAGCTTCATCTTAACTCTGGTAGGAAAAATATGTTTACATAGTTGGTCATGATGTAAACAGCTTCATCTTCACTCTGGTAGGAAAAATATTTGTACATGGTTGGTCATGATGTAAACAGCTTCATCTTAACTCTGGTAGGAAAAATATGTTTACATAGTTGGTCATGATGTAAACAGCTTCATCTTAACTCTGGTAGGAAAAATATGTTTACATAGTTGGTCATGATGTAAACAGCTTCATCTTCACTCTGGTAGGAAAAATATTTGTACATAGTTGGTCATGATGTAAACAGCTTCATCTTCACTCTGGTAGGAAAAATATTTGTACATAGTTGGTCATGATGTAAACAGCTTCATCTTAACTCTGGTAGGAAAAATATGTTTACATAGTTGGTCATGATGTAAACAGCTTCATCTTAACTCTGGTAGGAAAAATATGTTTACATAGTTGGTCATGATGTAAACAGCTTCATCTTAACTCTGGTAGGAAAAATATGTTTACATAGTTGGTCATGATGTAAACAGCTTCATCTTCACTCTGGTAGGAAAAATATTTGTACATGGTTGGTCATGATGTAAACAGCTTCATCTTAACTCTGGTAGGAAAAATATGTTTACATAGTTGGTCATGATGTAAACAGCTTCATCTTAACTCTGGTAGGAAAAATATGTTTACATAGTTGGTCATGATGTAAACAGCTTCATCTTAACTCTGGTAGGAAAAATATTTTACATAGTTGGTCATGATGTAAACAGCTTCGTCTTAACTCTGGTAGGAAAAATATGTTTACATAGTTGGTCATGATGTAAACAGCTTCATCTTAACTCTGGTAGGAAAAATATGTTTACATAGTTGGTCATGATGTAAACAGCTTCATCTTAACTCTGGTAGGAAAAATATTTGTACATAGTTGGTCATGATGTAAACAGCTTCATCTTAACTCTGGTAGGAAAATTATTTTTACATAGTTGGTCATGTTGTTGAGTGAAGTAAACAGCTTCATCTTAACTCTGGTAAGAAAAATATTTTTTAATAATGCTAGTAGAAAATCAAATCAAAACTATTGCAAGTATTTTTTATTTGAGATTATTTGAGTAAAAATATTTATAAATTATCTCCGCTTTACTTTTACTTTAAATAAACTAAATAAAAAAAGTGTAGTTTGACAACCAATGTACCAAAACAAAATCTTCCTTGATATTAGATTCAGGCAAGTCTGACTACAAGAGGAAGTAATAGGTGAGTTAGATTTGACAAATCTTGACAATAACAGGAAGTAACAGTTAGTTAGGTTTAACAAATCTTGACTACAACTACACAAGGAAGTAATGTAACAATTTCTTACTTGCAAGAGTCAATGACATAGACAACATCATCAATGGTCACACTGGTCTCAGCAATGTTTGTTGACAAGATGATCTGGACAGAAAAAATCATTTGCTACAGTTTTTAATTTGTCACTAAAAAATGGGTTGCTAGGACTTGGGTAACTTTTCAAAAGTATGTATGACTGTACTGGTACTGTAGATAGTGGTAACTCCCCCAATGGTATGTATCACTATACAGGTAACCAGAGACAAACTCACTCTAAGTTATGTATCACTATAGTAAAAAGTAAGTAAAATTTTCTTTTCAAACTTGGCGGTCCATGGGGCAAGTGAAGCAGAGTTCACCTGTTTCTGTGACCTCTGCATATAAAGGGATAGTGGTCAGCACTATGCCCAGCTGCCTCTACTTTCCCTAATGTGAGTTTGGTACCCAATAAAACTGGGTGGACTAAGGGACATTCTATTGACTTGAACCCAGATTTGAACTAGAGACTTTCAGGTTATCAGTCTAGTGCTCTACCCCTAGGCCAAACTGTCCCATATGTATCATTAAACAGGTAACTAGAAACCAACTGCCTAAAAGGTATGTATCACTATGCAGATGACTAAAGGTAACCCTCTTACCTTGGTAACTCCCTCAAAGGTATGTATTACTAGCAGGTAACTAAAGGTAACCGTCTTACCTTGGTAACTCCCTAAAGGGTATGTATCACTATGCAGGTGACTAAAGGTAACCCTCTTACCTTGGTAACTCCCTAAAGGGTATGTATCACTATGCAGGTGACTAAAGGTAACCCTCTTACCTTGGTAACTCCCTCAAAGGTATGTATCACTATGCAGGTAACTAAAGGTAACCCTCTTACCTTGGTAACACCCTCAGGTACAGGATCAAACACACGCCTCTGACCTTCTCTGGGAATTGAAGAATGTAATGGCAGAATTCTATATCTGGAGCTTCCTGTTATTTAAGACAAAAAGTTCACTTGTTGTAAGCTGACAATACACACTGAATAAAACACAGCTCTAAAGATTGTACACATAGCCACATAAAACAAAGAAAATCAAAATCAATTTTAGAAAATAGTTTTGACAATTTAAACTTTAAACACAGTTGTCAAAAGTCTATAGTTCCAGAACTGCATACTATCAAGAAATTAATTCACTTAAACATTTTAAATCCTGAAGAAAAAAAATGAATGCTTATAAGACAAGACATCGGCAGTTCTAGAATAAACTGTTTACCAAATTCTGGGCTTTGTTCTAGATGTTTCTGGAGCATGAAGATGAGGTTCCAGCCTGGTAGAAAGAACAAGACTGCTCCAGGTACGCCCAGCCCTTTGATGTACCGAAGCAAGGCCTAAATACAGAACAAACTTTATAACTTAAAACTCATAAACTAATCAGAAAACTGTTAGTTATTTGTTTCCTTTCTACCATAACGGAAGTAATTCTTTTTAGTTTTCTAAGAAAAAATTACTTAAACAGACTATGATATGACCATGACTACACAATTATAAATTTATAATTGAGCACATCAAGATAAATCGGTTGGTTGGGTGAAAATACGTTTCAGTTATCAGAAATCAACTTATTTTATTTTTTTAGCCATAAAGTACAGTTAACAGTTTTAACAAAAAAAATGTTAACATGGTTTAGTCATAATAGTTTACCTGTAGTGAATTTGATTTTTTACAACAGTGTGTTTTAAAACATACATCTGATTATTTGATTGAAAGCAAACTTATGAAGAAAAACATGGATGAACAGTTTTCATCTGAAAGCCAACTTAAAAATACAAGGAGTGTTTACCTCAACTAGTTCAAATGGAATCTCCTTCTCTGGCAGTAGAGACATAGCGATTTTGGTGGACTCTGAGTAGCCTGGTGCTATGATCTTGTTACAGTTTTCCTGGTGAGATAAAATGTAAACAGTTTAAACACAGCAATTTTGGTGGTCTCTGAGTAGCCTGGTGCTATGATCTTGTTACAGTTTTCCTGGTGAGAAAAAATGTCAATAATTTAAACACAGCAATTTTGGTGGTCTCTGAGTAGCCTGGTGCTATGATCTTGTTACAGTTTTCCTGGTGAGATAAAATGTCAATAATTTAAACACAGCAATTTTGGTGGACTCTGAGTAGCCTGGTGCTATGATCTTGTTACAGTTTTCCTGGTGAGAAAAAATGTCAATAATTTAAACACAGCAATTTTGGTGGTCTCTGAGTAGCCTGGTGCTATGATCTTGTTACAGTTTTCCTGGTGAGAAAAAATGTAAACAATTTAAACACAGCAATTTTAGTGGACTGGCTCTGAGTAGCATGGTTCTATAATATTTTAATAATTTTTCTAGTGAGAAAAAAATGTAAACTATTTACACCGTAATTTTGGTGGACTCTGAGTAGCATGGTTCTATTATCTTGTTACAATTTTTCTAGTGACCAATAATTTTAAAAAAGTTAAAACACAACAATACCTACTACAGATCTGCACTATGAAATCTAACCAAAATAATGTTAAAGCTGATTCTCTTTTTCAAAGAAAAAAAAGGATTACAATCTTACTTAGCAGTTGTGAATTTTAGCTCATACAACAATGACTTTTAACCCACTTAGCAAAATTTTACAAAGAAAATTATAAAGCATAATAATATGTTTTCACAAAAATAAAATGAACGGACATGTTTAAAACAAAATAAAAACTTACTTCATCTCCATCTCCCCCGTCATCAGCATCATCATCCTGCTCCTTTTTCTTTCTTCTATCATTGGGCACTGGCACAAAGTTGAGCATCTCAATGATGTCTTCTAGGTAATACTCTGTTCATTCAGAATAGTTTACTCAGTGAAAATAGGGCTCTGTTTGTTAATAGGGTCTTTAGTTTATATAATAAAATTAATACTCCGTATATTGAAAAAGTACAAAGTTTACACAATGAAAAAAATACTCTATATATATTGAAAAACTATAAAGTTTACATGATTAAAATAGTACTCTATTTATTGAAAAAGTAAAAAGTTTACACAATTAAAATAGTACTTTATTGAAATAGTACAATTTTTACAGAATGAAAATAGTACTCTATTTATATTTAAAAAACTAAGCTTACATAAAGTAAATAGTACTGTGTAGACTAAATACAAAATATTTCTAGAAGTTTATATAGTAAAAAAGGTGTGGGTTGTACAAGTCTAATAAGATTGTTTCATGTGATTAAGACAACTGTTTGTGCAAGTGTAAATAATGCACTGCTCAATGGTGTAGGGTTTTAAGAACTTGTGCTTTTTTCTCTTTTAATTTAATTAATTAGCAATTAATAAAAGAAAATCATGTAAGACCTTGCACAGGGAAAGTCCTGCCGTAGACCTCCACAATGGAAACCTCTCCAAAATATTCAGTGAAGAGAGTGGTGTCAACAGTTGCGGACATGAGGATGACTCGCAGCTCTTTGTAGGTGCGCACCATGTCCCTCAGTAGAACCAGTAGGAAATCAGTCTGAAAATGTGCAGTCAATTCATTCATTTCAGTAATCATTCAAACACTAGTCAGTGAGTATTTCTTTTTAAATTTATTAAATATTTATTTATTTTAAAATGCTTGAGTGCGTGTAACTCTAATCATTATCATCTTTGCCAATTTGTGCCCAAGATACATAGGGCAGATGACGTACAGGTCATCTGTTTCAGAGACCTTGGTATGTGAAGGAATAGTGGGGTCAACACTTTAATGGATAACTTCATAAAGTAAGAGAAAGTAAAGGTGGCTGATAATGAGCCCCTTTTTAAGGAGTTATTAAAAACACAATAGATAAACTTCTTCTTCTTCTTCGTTCTTAATTTTTAGTGTTGGAAGGTATCGAGCCTTATCTGCCAGAGGGTTTGAATTTATCAACCATGAGCTTTTGCCGACTCGACCACGCCTCCATCACAATTAAGGATACGTGTCAACTGGTTATGCGCCATTGAGGCCATTGACTCCGATTTCAGCCTGCTTTTCTTTTTGGGTTTGCTTCCATAGCCTTTGTCCAACCAAGAACAAACTACAAGGCAGCAGTAGTTTTATTTCGGAGTTGTCCCTCCTAGAAGACCGGCTGTCCCCAGCTAAAGAGCCTCATCTGCCCGAGGGTTCGAACTCGAGACTTTTCGGTTTAGCAACCATGAGCTTTACCGACTCGACCACGCCGACCCCTAATAGATAAACAATCCTTCATATGAATTGAGGGACAGTGTAGTCGGACGGTCGAGCACATGACTCAAACTCAAAAGTATCGAGTTCAGATCCTGGGTTTGTCCATAGGACATCCATGTGTCCACCCAGTCCTGATAGGTATCTGATGCACGGTTGGGAGGTAAGGGCAAGTAGGCAAAGAACTGACCACACTATCTCTTCTAATGCAGAGGTCACTTCTACTCTAATTTGTCAAATGTTTACTCAACTGTAAAATACTATTATAAAGTGCCAACATTTATAAATCTAGGAGTGATTCATGAGCATAATGGTCCACACTTTTTTTTTTAAAATAGATTTTAAGACAGTTAATTTACATGAATGTACAGTACTAAATGTGTTCTAAAATATTATTTCCTTACATTGATGTCCCTTTCATGGATCTCATCAACAATAACATGAGACACGCCCCTCAGTCCACCTTCCAGTCTCCTCAGTAAGGTACCTAAAGAGTAAGTTTTAATTAGTCAAGAATTTTTAAAATTTTGGTTAACTTAAGTGAAGTAAGTTCCCTTGCAAACCTGGCGGTCTATGGGGCAAGTGAAGTAGAGTTCACCTGTTTCTGTGACCTCGGCATATGAAGGGATAGTGTGGTCAGCACTATGCCCAGCCGCCTTTACTTACCCTAATGTGCGTTAGGTAATAATCAGAACTGGGTGGACTCAGGGACGGTCTACAGACATGAATCCGTGCTCTAGCTCGAGACTTAAGAGTTAGCAGTCCAGCTCTCTACCGCTATATCTCTCCCAGATCATAAGTTTTAATACAGTTGACAAGAATTTTGTTTTAAAGTACTTCAAAGATAGACATTTATATTGTCAAGTAATTATGCAAATATTCTCCTACCCACTGTACAGTAAAAAATGCTGAACACTAACACAAAACGTACCCACTGTACAGTAGAGAATGCTCCCATAGGGCCTCGGCATGACTGATTCAAAACGTACACTGTACCCAACAGATGTACCAAGGGGTTCTGACCTCTCAATAGCTACACGTTCGGCAATAGACACTGCGCTGATTCGACGAGGCTGAAAAATTTCAAAACTTTATCTCCACTGCCACCTTATATCTAGTTTTTAAAATGCTTATATCTACAATATACATAAGCAACAAAAATTTATAATGTATCAATTTAATTTACCCCGTGAATAATATGTCATTTAGTGCTATGAAGGTATTAATACTTAATTCAAAGAAAACAATAGCCAAGAGAAGACAAAAAGATATTTACCTGTGTGATAACAATTCCACAGTAGCCTCCCCTTCCTGAATTTATCATTTGGTCTAATATAAACTGTGGGACCTATAAGTGAACAATGAAACCCATGATTAAGCATGACACTCAATGCTACCATTCAAGCACATGGGGTTGATAAACATAATACACTTTCTTACACCACACACATGTATGTGTGGAATCAAGGTTTTTGTTACAGCTAACAGATCATTTTAGTGTTTTCTAACACTAATCACAGCCCATTTGTAACATTTGTATTGTCTACAACCCTTATTGGGTTCTGTAGCTATTTCCTAAGTTGATTCTACAGGTACTTCCCAAATTATATTTGTTTCTACATTTGGCTTCTACACTTATTCCCATATTTGATTCTACACTTATTCCCATATTTGATTCTGCAATTATTTCCCACATAGGGTTCTAGCAATGTCAAACATTGACCAAAACATTGTACCTGTGTCGTTTTACCACATCCTGTTTCACCTCTGATCAAGGTCACTGCGTTACGGTTGACCTCCCGTAAAATCTGTTCACAGCATGAGTGTACGGGCAGCTGAGCGCGACGTTCCAGCATCTGTTGACAGGAAACAGCTGTTATTAACCACGTACACAATGGCTACATCAAAAGCGAAAATCGGTTTTCAATCCTTTATATTTTTTTAATTTGCACATTTTTAGAATATTTTTTTTGTAATTAGATCATTTTTGGAATTGTTTATTCTGTAATTATCTCAAATATAGAAAAGTTTATTTTTAGTTTATCCTGTTCATAGAACTTCTTATTTTGTAATTCTTGAATATACAGAAATTTTTTCCTTTATCAATATTTGTTCTTTCCTTTCTCTTCAGTGGATAGCCATTAAATAAATCTTATTTTAAACCAATTAACACCATTCAATAAATTATTTTGAACCAATCAACACCATTAAAAAACTATTTTAAACCAATCAACACCATTCAATAAATTATTTTGAACCAATCAACACCATTAAAAAATTATTTTAAACCAATCAACACCATTCAATAAATTATTTTGAACCAATCAACACCATTAAAAAATTATTTTAAACCAATCAACAGTCTCTTAACAAAGGTAAAATGAACCACTGGCTGTCTCTGATCACCTGTGTCAGGTTTTGATCCTCAGCATACTGGCTCTGTAGACTTGTTTTCAGGTCAACGCTGATTTCATCCAGGGATGCCTGTTCAAACAAGACAAAAATCGTATTCAAGAAAAATTAGACATTTTTTACCCAACACAATTTTCATTTTAAAATAAACACGCAGTGCGTACTCAGATTACATTGTTTTTAATTTAGTATGTCCCAAGTTAGATGTGTGTTAAAAATAAGTCTCCTATACTCTTCTAGTTCTGGGTTTAATTGAACTTTAATTGCTGACATCTAATCATATACTGCAATTACTACAAAGAATTCCAATTATAAAAAATAAAGACTGTTGTATTTTCAATGAAAGTAAATTAACTCATAATAAAATGTCATTAAACTTTTATAAAAACAGCTAATTAATAAAACTAAAAAGACAAAATCACTTTCTTTTTTTGGGGTACAATAGTACAATTTTACCAAACTTTGGGCCATCATTAACATAACAGAATAATGGACCATCATCAATATAACAGAAAATGGGCCATCATCAATATTATAGAACAATGGGCCATCATCAATATACTAGAGCTAATGACTTACCGTAGCAAGAGGACCATCATCAATGTAACATTAATGATTTACCGTAGCAAGAGGACCATCATCAATGTAACATTAATGATTTACCGTAGCAAGAGGACCATCATCAATGTAACGTTAATGATTTACTGTAGCAAGAGGACCATCATCAATACACTAGAGCTAATGACTTACCGTAGCAAGAGGACCATCATCAATATACTACAGCTAATGATTTACTGTAGCAATAGGACCATCATCAATACACTAGAGCTAATGATTTACTGTAGCAAGAGGACCATCATCAATACACTAGAGCTAATGACTTACCGTAGCAAGAGGACCATCATCAATATACTACAGCTAATGATTTACTGTAGCAAGAGGACCATCATCAATATACTACAGCTAATGATTTACTGTAGCAATAGGACCATCATCAATACACTAGAGCTAATGATTTACTGTAGCAAGAGGACCATCATCAATACACTAGAGCTAATGACTTACCGTAGCAAGAGGACCATCATCAATATACTACAGCTAATGATTTACTGTAGCAAGAGGACCATCATCAATACACTAGAGCTAATGATTTACTGTAGCAAGAGAACCATCATCAATACACTAGAGCTAAAGATTTACTGTAGCAAGAGGACCATCATCAATACACTAGAGCTAATGATTTACTGTAGCAAGAGGACCATCATCAATACACTAGAGCTAATGACTTACCGTAGCAAGAGGACCATCATCAATACACTAGAGCTAATGATTTACTGTAGCAAGAGGACCATCATCAATACACTAGAGCTAATGACTTACCGTAGCAAGAGGACCATCATCAATACACTAGAGCTAATGATTTACTGTAGCAAGAGGACCATCATCAATATAACATTAAGCCATCATTAATATAACATTAATGACTTACAGTAGCAAGAGGGCCATCATCAATATAACATTAATGACTTACAGTAGCAAGAGGGCCATCATCAATATAACATTAATGACTTACCGTAGCAAGAGGGCCGTCATCAATATTACAGTTTAACCATGGGTTCCAGTTTGGTACCGGAGGTGACCAGGACACCACGCCAGGGGTTCTCTTAGGAGGCGCGGGTTCAAACTCCTCCAGAGACGGGTGGTTGATGAGTGAAACTTGTGGCTGACCATCCTCTTCCCCACCCTGTTGCTTTAACTGTTAGAAATACGGAAAGTGAACAACTGGTTTTTTTTTAAATATGGGATATTTTTTTTAACAATAAAATCTTGCGCACACTTTGGTTAAAGCGCAGGATAAAAAACAAAATAAATCACTGTTAAGAACATGAAGCAATTTAACATCAATATTTAATTTTTTTTAAATGGGGGAATTTTAAAAATGGTTTTTAATTTAACAAAGGCAGCACAAGCATTTAACTAAATAAATGGAGTTTTTCTTTTTAAAAACTATGCTTAATTGAGATAGTTAAAGACGAGTGAGTGGGTGAGTGGGTGAATTAGTGAGTGGGGGTGAGTAAGTGGGGTGAGTGAGTGAGTGGGGTGAGTGAGTGAATGAATGAAAGGAGTAAGTGAGAACTTACAGTAAAGTCAGTAACAGGGGACGCTCCCCAAACCTGTAAACACTGGTCAATTTTCTGTTCTATTTCCTCACTTATGGCAACAGGATAAGATGGCAGCTGTAGAAGAAGACAGCAACAAATACATCACGTCTTTCATCAAAATATATGGGGAAATAAATACTACAAACATTCAGTACCCTGCTATACCAAACTGATAGTTATTTTTTACTAAATATAATTTACAGAAGAAGCTTGATTGTTAATATCTAAGTAAATAACAATGAAATTAGCGACAAATGAGATGGTATAAATTACTTTTTCATTCCCTTTTTTCTTTTTCTGGCCAGTGTTGGATTCAATAACCTTCATGTGGTACAGCTGGCGAACTAAGGACAGAGCGCAGGATTTGGACGCGACTTGTTTATTGGATCCTGTCTCTCTGGCGTGAATGTCTGTAAGAATAATTTCTTCATATTGTAGTCAAGTATGTTGAGGAGTGGATAAGTAACTTAAAATATTTTGAATTAAATTAAATAATAACAAAATCTATGTACAAACACAATTCACTTGATGAATTATAGATTTCTAAAAAAAAATTTGGAAGACAATTAACAGGAAAGCAATTCTTGTTTTGTGTGAAGAATTATAAAATCTAGTATGCTTGAAATTATTTCATTAACTTTCTGAACTTACTGTGGCCAATTTTCTTGACATAAAAGGACATTTCTGCTGCAAAGCTCCTGCAACAACATATGATTATTTAATACAAACTGCAGGAACAAATGTATAATTATAATTTACAGATTTGAAAAATGTTGATTGTGTAAGAAAAACAATAATTTGAAATAACATGAAACAAAAAATAGTAAAAAAAAATTTAGAAAATTTTGTTCTATTAAAAAGTATTTTAAATAAATCAATAAAATGTGAAATTTAAAGACATCATCCATGTAAATCCTTACAATTTACATTTTCAAAAATATGTTATCAGAATGTGCATTCATTATTACAATTAAATACTCAGAACACAGCTGTGGCAATGTTAGGGATCTCAATACTGCATAAGACTGATAATTTTATGTTAATAAACTTTTTAATTGGTGTCAGAACCAACATATAGTGGATCAATGCCAATTAAAATAAAATCATTCGACTGAGGAGATAATGAAAGAATGTTAAACTATGTTTATAGTATGACATCCATACATAATATACATTTTAAAATTTTGACATGGAAGTTGTACAAAATGCTAAATGTGACTAAAAGTGATGAAAATTTTTGAGAATTATGAGAATTTTTTAAAACTAAAATATGTCCAGTTAATAAAATTATGAACACATTTTTTATTTCGTGAAATAATCCCACCTTTTACCCTAGGACGAGTACATAACAGACAGAATGACTTACCTACAGTTAAACATACTATCCGCAAATTCTCCAGCAAAGAGACCATCACAGGTATTCATCCATACAAAATCCACCATCTGTTAGCTGTCTATCACCCCCATGACGACCAGAGTGGAAAATAAAACCAGACCTTGCTGACGTTGGTTTAAAAAAAAAAATGTAAAACAACTCTATGAGTCTGCATGGAAAGATGGCACCAGACCAAGATAGGGTGTAAGGAACTTGCAGCTCTGGTCATGGCGTCATCTTCACATGGCGTTAAATAGTGCAAGAAGGTCTGGTCATTTCCACTCTGTAGTCTTACTCCTATAGTCGCCCAAATTTTTTACCACTGTTTACTATATAATGTTGGGTTTGGTATCTTCTATTTACTTCAAAACACACTGAAGTGAACAGAAGATGAGCAGACACCAGCATAACAAAATATTTTATACATTCTTGTCCAATTTACTTTGAGGCAGATTTATTTCCTTCACCGAGGAGGGCAAAATGTGTGACTTATGTCTGATAATATGACTGTCTAGTTTTTTACTATCACCTACTCTGTTTGACTCTTTACATTTTTGATGCCAAATTTTTTTAAGGTTAGATGATACATTTTTATCAATAAAAAAACATTGTTAGCATAATAGAATATAGCCAGAAAAACATTTTCCTAACAGACTTAGAATGAGATTATAGGTCAATTTGGAAAATACCTTGAGATGGTCTCTTTGCACTGCATCATTAAAACTTACAGCAGCTAAATTTATTAAATTAACATGTGAGATCACCATCCGTAACACTGAGTTACTAGAAATTTAAAACTAATTATGTTGTTTATATTTATAGAAAGGATATTTAAAAAAAGTATTTTGAAAACAAAGTAAAGCAGTAAAAAAAATGTGGCTTCAGGGGAACCATGGAAAACCTGAGTATTGAAGTGTAGTCTTAATAATAGTATTGTTAAATTCGTGAAAAAAAATTATCTCTACACTAAACTATTAATTTTATATAAACGTTACTAATTTAAAAAACAGTATCAGATTTTTTTTCATTTCTTATCGACATGTACTGATTTATTTATTTTAAATTTTAAACCAATGTCATTCTTTAATCAATTTTGATGATTTACTTGATAATTTTGGTAGCGTTTTAAATTACTATATCAGTCACGTCATTTATTTTAATTTTTCTGGTTTATGGGTAAACCAAGAGTGATATGAAATGAACATACCAACTGCAAAACAGAAGATTAAACTCCAAAAAGCTCTCTGAATGCTAACAAATTTTCAGTAAAATAATTTTAAAGTTTAAAATCCACCTATTGTGATCTGGACCCATGATATGGTATTTGTAGTCAGTTTTAATTTTGTTCATTTGGAGAAACTGGTGCAGTCTTGATTTAGCATTTTCCATGGTCCAGTTGCCATGTATTTCAGCATTAAAGTCACAGTCCTCGGACTGAAAGGAAAAAAAAATAGATTGCACAAAAATATTGACAATGTTGAATATTTATAAGGGAGAATGATTAAAAAAAACAAATTATTTTAGCAAGTGAGTAAGCACATTGAATATTCTTTCTAAACCAGATAGACCCAGAAAATATTAGAATTCATCTGTTTATATGACAAAAAAATTGGAAAGGATTTTACTCAATAAAATACCCAGTCCTTCCCTTTTCTTAGACTTAGGTACATACTAGAACTTGGTGGACCCATTAACAAGACTCTAAACAAGATACTGAACTCTAGAAATTCAGTTCTAATACAGCAGCTAAAATTCTGCAGCTAAACAATACAGACACCAGGCTTACAATAATTGATGTTTACAGAGCAGATCGTGGGCAAGGCATCACATTTACAAAGTGCTATAACAATAAGATCTATATTTAAGAGACAGCTGCTCCGTAGTCTATTTAAACACGGCAGTTTGAACTTGGTATGCATGTGGGGTTTACTATAGCAAAAAAAAAATAAAACTACAGATGGATTTTTATTTTGTTTCACCTCTTCTAAAGATCTTTTCTCTGCAATCCTGTCCATATAAGCTTGTGGTGGACCTCTTTGGTAAGCAGGATAATCCCTAGGTGGTTCAGCAGAGCCAGCATCTTCATCCAAACAACAAGATATTTATTCAATTAGATTAATTCAATGAGTTAAATAGAATTCTATATGAGACTCCCTTGAACTTAAAAAAAAAAGTAAAGTTTCCCTTTCAAACCTGACGGTCTATGGGGCAAGTGAAGTAGAGTTCACTTGTTTCTGTGACCTCGGCATATGAAGAGATAGTGTGGTCAGCACTATGCCCAGCCGCCTTTACTTTCCCTAACGTGAGTTAGGTACCCATCAGAGTTGGGTGGACTCAGGGACGGTCTACTGACTAGAACCTGGATTCGAACTCGAGACTTACGGGTTAGCAGTCCAGCTCTCTACCGCTAGACCACTTTGTCCTCTTCCCTTGAACTTAGCAAGAAAATATTGATTTCAAGTTTAACTACTAAATTAGGTAAAAAAGAGTATTTTAAAAGAACAACAAAAGAAAGAAAACTGCAAAAAAATCCAAAATGAAAAAGTAGATTTTTCAAATAATTAACGAATAAATGCAAATATAATAAACCCAAAAATATCGCCATTGAGTGCTATGTACAAACTGCTATGGTAACTAATTACCTATTTGAAGATGTGGTGCCAGAGTACCGCCTGGTAAGATGCCACTGCTAGCCTCAACAGCAACTTTCTCCTGTTGTTGTTCAGCTATGCTATTTGACAACTGTTAACAAAAAATTAACATCTGTTTAAAAATATAACAAACTTGGTTCCATGACAATACCAAGTTGATTAATAGTGACAGATTAGTTATTATTTTTTTATTATTTTTCTATGGGGTAAAGAAATCACATAGAGAAAAACAAAATCTTACCAAATTAGCAGGAATTTCATCTGCACTCATACGACCTATCCTGACCAGGTATTGAATAAAGTCTCTTGCAGCATTTGCCATTGAGTCTTTTTTGTTGGTAGAGTTACCCACCCCAACATAGTCAAATGATTGCACACGGACCTTGTATAAATAATAATAAAAGACAAGTGGCATCATTTGATTCACAGCAAATCCTGGATTCGAGCTCATCAATAAGTTCAGATGAGATGTGTGTGCTTCATACTTATGTATGCTAAATGTAAAACTAAGGTGTGTAACAGTAAGTCTACCCATGTCTCAATGTGAAAATATTTTATTGTAATTGAGAGCATTTAATTTTTCCACAGAATTATAAAAAGAAATATTGTTCAAAAAATGTGTTTAACATTCTGTAAATGACTCTTTTAGGTTGACAAAATTGAAAAACGTAATAAAAAAAATTTCCCCATGTTTTTAAAATGTATAATGTCTATAGGAAAGTTCCCTCAGAATATAATGTACCAGTATATCATGATTTAAAAAATCCCTAACCTCACACTTAAACCTTTGTCTGTGCTTTGGGCCACTTGATGAGAATTCATACTCCGGAGTGCCTGTCTTGTTTTTTCCACACCAACTGTACAGTATCTGCTTGACGTCCATGTTTACAGGAGATGTGTAAAGCTGCCTGGAACCAGATTCGCTGTTTCAATTTAATTTAGTCTCAGCACAAGTAATTTTTAGGAAACATTAGGCCATATGATACTCTGTGATATAACCTGTAAAAAGAATGCCATTTTAAATTTATTTTATGAGTCATATTTCAGATTGTTTCTTGGGCTTAGTATTGGTGAATTAAAATACAATAATACATTTTGACCAGTTGACTAGACTCGTTTTTTTTTGTCTTGTGTATTCATATTGTGTATGTGTATGAGTGTATGACACTGACGGTGGTGGTATGTAGTAATGTACTAGTACTATGGATTATCATTATGATCAATAATTAATAAATTATGATGATGGAGTTAGCCTCGTTAGGTATGGAGTCTCAGTATGTGGTAGTAGTTATAGTTACTGTTGGGTTCATAGTTCATACACAATACAGTCACTGTAAACTAGAGTAGATTTAATTACCAATTAAATCTGCACTTATTATTAGTAGGGTTTCTCAGTTGTAATACAAATGTTTTGTTAGTTACTTAATAGAATAAAGTACCATTTAGAATTAGATGATATACCGGTACCTGTGTTTTCTACATTAAAAAAATTACCGGAAGT